AATTTTTTTTCCATAATAAAATAATAATTAATATTATTTTTTTGTATTCTTTGTAATTACAGGAGATCTTTTGTCTGAAATTGTAGTCGACTACATCGAGTCAAATAGCCCCATTATTCAAGGACTTCAGAACCGGATTCGATTCCTGGAAGAGATGGAGAAATCAGATCGACTATTCCTGTATTGTATCGGCGGTGCTTCGATTCTAACGTCTTCTTCGGTTCTTTTGTTGTTACCTGCAATTGTTATGTTTTTCTTCCAGGGTTATTGCACTTTTTAAACTGAGGTAATGTGCTGGGATGTGATATGATGAGCTCTGGCGAGCTGAGGTGAGATATAAAAATAATAAAATAAAATAAATTACACTTTTATTTGTCTCAGAAGGGCCCTTTGTTTTACAATGGCAAACATACATACATAAATACATACTTATAAATACGTACATACATTAATACATACATGCATAAATACATACATAAATACACACTATTACACAACAGAACAGTTTACAACAATGCCACTGTCGGTCGCCACTGTGCAGCGCCCTGTAATTTGAGCTAGGGTTGTCGTGTCTTGCTCAAGGACACACTCCAGTGACCACCCATCTGATCCCCGTGTCACCGACACTTGCTTGACATTGCTTGAGTCAAAACTCATATGAGATGGGATTTAATGATATGAGACGAGATAAAATAAGAACAGATGAGGAACAGTGGAGATTAAATGAGTTGGGGTAAGATTGAAGGAGTGGAGATTTAACAACATAAAACAATTAATGAGGTGAGACGGATTGATATGAGATTATATGAAAGGAGATAAAACGAGATGAGAAGGGTCGAAACGAAATGAGTTCGGTTGAGTTCAGGTGGGACTAAATCGTATACAATGGTTTGAGATGAGGTCAGATTAGATGAAGGGAATGACAGAAAGTGAAATGAATTATGGTAAAATAATTTTAGATAACCTCAGATGAAACTTGACAAGAAAACAATCAATACAGTCACAGATGAAAAGGAGAAACGAAAAGGCATAACAGATGCCTTTATTTTGTCGCTTATTATTTGCTTTAGTTAGTTTTAGTAGAGGTTTTACGGCACTCGCAACTGCATAGGGTCATATGAGCGCCAGAAGATTAGAGGTGTTACAAGAGAGTAACGAACATAAAAAAGAAGAAGGGGAGATAAGGACGATAGATGTTTGATAGGAAAGAAGAAGCAAACCACACCAGAGCACCCGCCAACCACCCACCTTATTTGCTTTAGACAGACGCCATCTTAATTAAATGATAGAAAGAGCAATGGATTGTGGCACGATAGTTTGAGATAGATGAAGTTGGACAACAACAAATATCAAATAAATACAGATGAAAAGGAGAGACGAGACATCAGAACAGAAGCCTTTATTTGACAGAAAGAGCAATGGATTGTGGAAAGATAGTTTGAGATAGATGAAACTGGAGAAGAAAAAATATCAAATAAAATACAGACGAAAAGAAGAGACGTGACATAAGAACGGAAGTCTTTATTTTGTCGCTTATTATAGCTTTAGACTGTCGCAATCTTGATTACTTCTGATCCAATGTTAATCCATTACTTTGCATATATTTTCAACAGCACGTCCTGTATTTTTTATGCGTGAGCACGTGCGTGTAAATGCGCGTGTTTCTGTATACAAGTGGGCGTTGGGGATATTTTTTCTTGCGTATATGTGTGCACGGGTGGATCCATTGCGTATCTGTGTGCACGGGTGGATCCATTGCGTATCTGTGTGCACGGGTTGATCCATTGCGTATCTGTGTGCACGGGTGGATCCATTGCGTATCTGTGTGCACGGGTGGATCCATTGCGTATCTGTGTGCACGGGTGGATCCATTGCGTTTGTGAGTGCGATTGTTTGTGTATACGTGCTGTCTTTTCATGAGCCGAGAACAACATGCCGAGATCTGTAACTATAGAATGTTCTAGAGCATGTCTGTGACAATCATTTTGCGTCATTTTATTATTTTTTTGCTTTCGATGTAAGCGCTAAATAATTTTGCTCTACTTTTCATATTTCCACTGTTTTGGGTCTGCAATATCATTATCATGTACCTGAGGCTGGCCGGAGAATGTCTGTCTTCATTTTCCCTTGTACTAAATGACCATTATTGAGTAGATGCACCACTAGTAGTAAATGCAGATGCATTACGCTTCTCTCGACACAATTTAGGTCAATTTAAGAGGCGGGGGACGTCGACTTTGTTTGTCAGGGCCGACCTTCGTGGAGAGGGCTACAACAATGGAGCTACTCGAATAAAAAAGTCTACGTCCAACTTGAGGATCGAACTATCGCTTTTCGCATATGGCGGCGAGGCTCCAACCCGTTTCTCCATCGACACCGGTAAAGTGCACATGTGTTTCTCTTTACTAATAATAAACAAACAGAACAAGAACAATATAACAACCAAACAGCCAGTTTTTAAATTTGTGGAAACTATTTTCTGAAGGTCCCACGTGTGTTCAAATTGGACTCACTCGAATGTGGAAAAACGGTATAGGTTTAAGTAACGCCCCCATCAACACTGTTAGGTTATTTAAGAGGCTTGTCACTCGTATGTCCAAAGCTAAATATCTGAGTGTTTATTCTTTGGTTTCTTTGTTTGCGATCTTTTCCGGTGGGGGAAAGGGGGGAGTAGTTTTTTTATTACGTTTTTAAAAATGTATTTGTTGTTGTTCTTATTTGTATTTCTTTTTATGAGGG